TTTTTTAGGACTTGGCTTGAGAACTAGCCGTTGGTATTTAAACAAAACTAGCCGTTGGCTTCTTGTTGTTGTTGCTGAAGATTGTTTGACTTCCAACAATCAAGGGTAAATTACATTTTACCCCCTCAAGTTTGAGGTCGATTTCAATTCCTTACAATATCTTTAAAACATTTCATTTTCATACATTTACCTATCATTTTATTTCAATTTCATACATCTGTTAGAAAATCTGTTAAGTAAACCATTAAGTGATGACGTGGCAAATATGGGTCCCCATTTGTGCTGACGTGGCTGCCACATTTGTGCCACGTGGCTAAAAAGTAAAAACAAAAACAAAACAAAAAACAAAACAAAACCCAGATCCCCTTCTTCCCCATAATCCTCACCCGTGCCCACCCTCTCACCCCCCATCACCCACCCCTTCTCCCACCCCCAACACTCTTTCTCTCGCACCACTCTCTCTCCCCAACTATCTCATTCTCTCTTGACATCCTCCCTCACTCGAAGAAAACTCCGATTGATCGGGTCGATGAAGACCACTACCATCTCCGACGAAGATGGATTGTCTGGGTTTTTTGGGTCCACGACCGTTGTGATCTGCAACTTTCTAGAGAAAATTTTCTCCACTCCTTCAACATTTGAGTTTTTTGGTTTTTTGGTTTTTATTTTTTAGTTGTTTTCTTTTTGGTTTTATGGATTTTCTAGCTTTCGAAAATTTTCCACCGTCGTTGTGATCTCCAACTTTCTCGAGAAAATTTTCTCCGATCCAGATCTCTTCTCAATTTTTCCCTTCCTACCCATTTTCACTCCACATTTATATTCTCACCTAAATTTTATTTTTTGAATTTTCTGGGTTTTTCTTACAATTTTCCGTACGTGCTTCCTCTCAGACTTTTCACACTTTTGAAATTTAAAAACTTGGAACATAAAATGGAAAAGGTGGTTTTCTGCTTCTCTGACTTGACCGTTTCCATGATTTCGCATTGTAGATGGAGGCACTCGGCAGGGAGGTTCTCATCGGAGATGGAGGCGCAGTGAGGAGGGAAGTGGTTGCGGGTGATGGGTGATGGGGGAAGGGGGAAGGGGTGGGTGATGGGTGTTGGTTTTGGTTTTTTTTAAACTTTTCTTTAAATAATTATTTTAAAATTTTAAAATTTTTAGTAAGTTTTTAGCCATGTGACACAAATGTGGCAACCACGTCAGCACAAGTGGGGACCCCATATTTGCCAAGTCATCACTTAACAGATTTTCAAACAGATGTATGAAATTGAAATAAAATGATAAGTAAATGTATGAAATTGAAATGTTTTAAAGATGTTGTAAGGAATTGAAATCGACTTCAAACCTGAGGGGGTAAAATGTAATTTACCCAACAATCAAACATAAAACAAATTATGAATCTTCCAAAATTAACTGTTGCATAAAGAATGTCAATAGACGGAGATTCAATTTCCAAGTTATGGACATTTCTAGATCCAAGGCCAGATTTAGAGGAGATTTGATGGGGTTAATAGGGGGTTGTGCAAGGGGCCTTACTTTATTGGCATAAAGTGTTGAAGGAAGCATACAACAGATGTTTCTTTCAGAAAATACTTCAAATGTTTATTTTTTCCCAACCTAGAAGCGTTTTTTACTTTTTTTGTCAAACACTATCAGAAGTGCTTTTGGTGGTCTAAAACTGTTTTTACCTATTTTAAAAACACTTCCAAACAAACATAAATTAATAGTCTTAGGACCAAGAAAATATATTAATTTAGTGGAATATTAAATAATTGATAAATTAATAATTTATTGATTAAATAATAGCTTATTAATTTATTAAGGTATTCCGTATTTTCTCCAATGCTCTTAGCATTTAATGTTACGTAGTATAGAAGTGGAACACTATTGAAAGCCAAAACTCTATTTAAACAAAAAATGTCTTAGGACTCGTTTGGAAGTACTTTTAAAATAACTAAAAACGCTTTTAGAGAAAATATTTATAGATTCCAAAAACACTTAAAGTGATTCCTATAAGAAACACATAATTGATGCTTCTTGCATGAAGCACTTTAAATGTTTTGTTTTTTGTTTTTTTTTGCAGGATTCGCTTGCATTTTTACTAAAGATTGGTTCTAAAAATATTTTCACAAAAAAAACTTTCATCCATTTTAAAAGCAGTTCCAAAGAACCCTTAGTAATAGGAAATTATTAATTTATATATTACTTGAGACTTATATGAAATTTTTATTAGGTATTAGAGCATCTCCAAAGGTTATATGAAAACTGCTATGTAAACATACAACAATAAAAGATGGTAGCAAACTTTCTCTGATCGAGCCTTCAGTTACTTACATGGCGTTGAATCAATTGAAGACAAAGTTTTTTGCTGTCAAATTTGACAACGACTATCAATTTTATTAAATGATTTTTTAATAGATGAGATGCAATATATAATAAATGTTATTGTGTGTATCAAGTATTTGATTTGTTGTCTCAGTAATTGAACCCTACAAAGAGATAAAAAGAATTATAAAATGACAATATTATTTAACATATAGGGTGGAGTAAAAAATTGTACAAAATGTCAAATTGCCACATAAGCCATCAAGTATCATTTTGATGTTTAAAATGTGACATTTCCTTTGGAGATGCTCTTATCTTATAAATTTAGCAAGTTATCCCTAAGTTGGGAACAATAACAATGTTATTTAACAGATGTTATTAATTTATCGAGTATTAAAGTATCGAGATTCTACTATATTGATTGTATCAAAGTGAAGAAAATAGTCTTTGAAACTACTCATTTTCATTGTATTTGTAGGATTTTTTCTTTCTTATTTGTTGTAGCAGAGAATGAACTTGTGTAGTCGTGAATAAGTAGAGAATGAAATTATGACACGTTTGTGCCTACAAAGATCAGTTGAGTTTGTAAGGATTGTTATTTTCGCTTAGACGAAGGTCTAGGTTCAAGTAAGTCTGCCCTATCCTTCCTAAACTTTTTTTTTAATGAACATTGGTGTTTACATTAAGGGGGAGATGGTGGGCTTAAACTCACAATGAGTTAGTAATAATGTAGTTCAAATTTATATTTGACGAGAATTGAATCTAAAACCTCTCACTTATAAGCGAAGATGAATATTAGTAACTGTAATACTAGGTGGCCTTCCTAAATTTTTTTGTTACCTAAAAAAGTACCACCCTGAGATTTTTTCCAAATAAATTTTTTAAAGTAATGATTTGTTTGAATGGAACGGTCGAATTTGATATCGCGTTAGGGTTTCACACTTGTGCTTTCAGGAACAATTCCTCCCTGAGGTTGCTATACAGGCAGCAATGGCTGTTCCTCCACCTCGCGGCCTCATACTAGTCTACGCCACTCTACTCGACGGCTGCAGTTCGTCCAAGAACCTCCGAACCCTCACGCAGCTCCACGCTAAAACCATAAAACTCGGCATTTCCCGCCACAACTTCATTCGAACGAAGCTCCTCTGCTCCTACGCCGCTTCCTCCCAACTGAAGCAATCCAACCTTCTCTTCTCCTTCTGCACTAGCCGACCAACCTTCATATTCAACACCCTCATCAGAGCCCACTCTTCCCAAGGCCTCTTCTCTCAGTCTCTGTCTATTTTTCTCCGAATGCTCGCCGCCAATAAACCCTTCGACCGCCATACCTTGCCTGCGGTTCTTAAATCTTGTGCCGGGTTATCGGTGTTGAGGCTGGGCAAACAAGTTCATGGAGCTGTTTTGGTCAATGGGTTTGGCTTTGACTTGGCGAATTCGAATGCGTTGATTAGTATGTATGCCAAGTGTGGTGATTTGGCGGGTGCCCATAAAGTGTTTGACGGAATGCTAATGAGGAATGAGATTTCTTGGTCGGCAATTATGGCGGGGTATGGGATGCATGGAGTGTTTAATGAGGTGTTTGAGTTGTTTGATAGGATGGTGGAGGCAGGAGAGAGGCCGGACGGGGTGACTTCCACTACGGTTGTGACAGCGTGTAGTCATGGAGGGCTGACAGAGAAGGGAAAGGAGTATTTTGAAATGATGAAGCAGAGGTTCGGGGTGATGCCCGGGTTGGAGCATTATACCTGTATGGTGGATTTGTTGGGTATGGTGGGGCGGGTGGATGAAGCAAAGGAATTAGTTTTGGGGATGGCGGTGGAGCCGGATGAGGCATTATGGGGTGCATTGTTGGGGGCTTGTAGGATTCACGGGAAGGTAGAGGTGGCTGAGAGAGTGGAAGAGATGCTTCATGGAAGGCGACCTAGTGTAGCATCTATTTGAGGCATTTAACAATGAAGTACTTGCAAAACTCCACCAGTTCTTTGCTCATGATGCTTTTGGGGAAAAATTCCCTTCTCAAGTTGCCTTCGGGATTGAAATTTGTTCGTAAAGCCTATATATACTTCTCAATCTGAAGGTTGCCTTCTAGTTACTGAGAGTTCTACATGTGGATTTCGAATTTGTGGCAGGAACAGATGGAACAGATGGAATGCTTTCTCTTCCATTGCTATGGAACTTGACTTTGTGGGAGAACATATTTTGATGGCAATGGATATAACTCCTAGAGGGTGTAAATAACCCAAGGAAGAAAGAACTCTCATTCATCACTTTTCGGGTCGATGAAGTTCTCTGTTGTTGGTTTGGTGTTTCTTCTCTTCTCATTTCACCGATGCTAATATCATAAAGTTTTTTTTTTTTTATTTAACTTGTTTGTACTGGTTTTTTTTAGTACCATGTCATAGTTTTAGTTCACATCTCACAAATGAATTATATAGTGAAATAATTTCCGCACACCCATTTTCTCGTTTTGCACACTTTTTTGTTTTTTCCCCCTAGTATTAGATTGAATAAATATAAGGAAAATTTAGGTGGGGGGGGGAATGAAGAGGTGTGTGCAAAAGGAAAAAGAGGGTGTACGAAATCACTTCTTGAATTATATTGATAAGACTGGTTTTGGAGCTTCACAAGTAGTCGCAGAAAGATATTGTATTCTCGAATAATCTACAACTACAGTGTCAATCAAACTTGTACGGTTCTCTCACAATGTTTTCTGGAACATACCCACATAATATGAGCTCAAAGGAGAGAAGCCCTAGGGTTGAATATATACACTCTGTGTCAACATGGGATTTATCACCGGCCACGAATTCATGAATGTTACAGTCAACCTCAACATAACTAAATCCCGGTGTCTTCTGTACTCCAAGGTCTTTCATCTTCTTTCTAACCTTGTTTGCACCATCCCACCGTCCAGCAGCTGCATATATATTGGCTAGGAGCACATAGTTGGAATCAACACTAGGATCAACCACAGAGAGGTACTTCATCAATCTTTCAGCTAAACTGACGTTCCCAATGGTTCTACAATCGGCCAACAAAGAACCCAACACAACTTCATTTAGCTTCATCGGCATGTTTTCTATTACACCCAAGGCATCTTCCAACCTCCCTGCACGGCTATAGAGATTGATTATGCATCCATAATGCTCGATTCTGGGTGTTATTCTGTGAACTCCCTTCATGTTATCAAAGTAATGGAGCCCCTCATCGACTAAACCAGCATGGCTGCACGCGGTGAGTGCTCCAGTGAAGCTGACCCCATCTGGCTTGAGCCCTTTCTTCTGCATCAGGTTGAAGAACTCGAGAGCTTCCTTTGCGTGCCCATTAACTGCAAATCCCACAATCATCGAGTTCCATGATACCAATGTCCTTTCCAGCATGTTCTCGAAGACTTGACGAGCAAAACCAATACAACCACATCGAGAATACATATCAACCAACGAGTTACTTATCCTAACATTGTCTTTAAAGTCTCGCTTCATAACAAAATGGTTTAGCCACAAGCCTAGACCAAGCGTTCCCAGATCTGCACACGCAGCGTTTACAGCAATTATAGTCACATAGTCTGGTTCAACTCCCACGAGATGCATCTCTCTAAGACCTAGTTTGGGAGTGAGGTGCTTAAAAAAAAAAACACTCATGAAAAAAAGCTGTAAGGGTTTTAGGTGTTTGGTAAACTGAAAAAAAAAATGGCTTATTTTGGAAGCTGTTGTGAGAATAAGCTGAAATCAAAGGAAAAAGCTGAAGCTGCTATTTGCAGCTTTGGAAAACTGACTTTTTTTCAAAGCACACGGAGCTACAGTGCTCCTTTAATGAAAAGACCCACTATCAGACTGCTTTTTTTTTTTTTTTCCAAAAGCACTTTTACAAAAAAGTTTACCAAACACTCTGCTGCTTTATTTCACAGCCGCTTATTCTCACAGCACAACCGCTTATTCTCACAGCAGTTTTTTTTCAAAGCACAGCAATACCAAACCAGCCCTAAACCACTCCAACGCTTGCTCGAACTGACCTTTCTTGACAAACCCACCAATCAACATGGTCCAAGAAACCGCATCTCTGTTAAGCATTTTTTCAAAAAGCTCAACCGCATTCGAAACCTTCCCATTTTTCATATACCCATCAATCATAGTATTCCAAGACATTGAATTCTTCACATCCAGCCCATCAAAAACCAACGTAGCAAAATCCACACCACCACACTTGGCATACATATCAATCACCGCCGTGCCCACCATCACATTATTTGTATCCAATTCGAGCTTTCGGGCATAAGCATGAAGCGAAGGCCCGAACTGAACGCCCTTGGCCGGAAAATGGGCGCAGCCAGAGAGAAGCGTAACAAATGTGACGTGGTTTGGTTCGACTCCAGCTCGTCTAATTTGGATGAAGTGAGCAAGAGCTTCAGCTAAATGACCATTTCGGCAGCGGTGGGATATTGATGAGGAACAGTGGGGTCTATGGGAGTTTTTGTTATGAACTGGTAGTGATTGCCTTAGTCACAGAGAGGTTTTAGTTAATAACAGTAAGGGTAAATTGTAAGGAGTTAAGTATGGAGGGTTCAATTGTAATGGGCCAAGAGTTATTAGAGGTTTTAGAAATTACTAGTAGTATTGTCCAGGTGGCATTCTTGTATTAGGGGATTATGCAGCATATGGGATATATGCTCCTGAGTTTTGTTGTATTAGCAGATTTTGGAAAATTAAATAGAATATCCTTTTACTTCCTTTTCTTTATCCTTTCGCCATTTTATACTCCCTAGCTACCGGTGAGATTGATTCTCCAGTGCCGGTGTGATCTTAACATTGGTATCACCCACTGTTCCTGGATTTTCTCTTCCGTGTATGCCTCGTCCTAACCCAAACACTCGTTCAAACACCATGGAGGCTCGATTTACCGCTTTCGAGGCTGACTTTTTGTCCCTCATTCGTGAGGCGGTGAAATCCGCTGTGGATGATCAATTCTCCTCTTAGCTTGAGACGCGCCTTCCGGCGTATTTCGAGCAGTTCCATCGCGAGCTCCACCATGAATTTGCCAGTCTTCGGGAGGGTGAAGGGTCCTCTCACCCACCCCTTTTCGATTCCCTTGTTCCTCCAGATCTGGCACCACCTCATCCCCCTCACAATTCTGGCACCCAGTCTCTCCGACCTCATTGGCACCCGCCTTGGCCACAGCGGCTCGACTTTCCCCGTTTCATTGCTGGTGATGATATCATTGCTTGGATCTACAAAGCCGAGCAGTTTTTTACCTTCTACGGGATCCCGGACTCTCACCGTGTTCACACTGCTTCCTTCCACTTCGAGGGGGAGATTCTTCACTGGTTTCGCTGGATGGACTGTACCAACACCACACCCACTTGGACGAAGTTTACTCTAGCTCTTTGTCGCGAGTTTGGCCCCTCTAAATTCGACGACAATGCTGAAGCTCTTTTCAAACTTCGACACACCGGTACTTTTCATGATTACATCGCCGAATTTCTCCGTTTGGCTATTCGCTCACCAGAGATTAGTCCTCTTTTATTACGCAGTTGCTTTCTCGGGGGGTTGAAAAAGGAACTGCGCTATGATGTTAAATTGTTGAAACCTGCAACTGTGCATGAGGCTATTTCCATTGTAGTGCAGCTTGATTCAAAACTTACTGAGTTGAAATTGCCTCTGCCTCGCACTTATACATCTTTGAAACCCTCATTTACTACCATCACACCTCTTTCCCATACTGTGCCAAAAACTAGCAACCTTGCTATTAAGAAATTGACTCCTGATGAGATTCAACGGAAGAGGGAACATGGTGAATATTGGTTCTGCAATGACAAATGGGTCCATGGGCATAAGTGCGGCCTTAAGTAACTGCTCATGATGGAATTGTTGGATTCCGAAGTTCCGGACGGAGATATGGGGGAGGATCAACCTGGATTACATCACGATCAACCTGAATTACAACACATGGAGCTCAGCGAATGTGCTTTTTATGGCACACATAGAGGCCCTACAGCTCAAACTATGAAAGTGCTTGGTCAAGTTAATGGCCACACCGTGAAGATCTTATTCGATTCGGGTAGTTCGCACAACTTTGTTGATTCCAAACTGATAAAACATTGTGGTTGGCAAGCTCAACCCACCCAGACTTTTGAGGTCATGATCGCAGATGGGGGGAAGGTTACAAGTTCTGGTTGTTGCAAGGCTATGGAGTTGATTTTAGCAGGGTATCATTGTTCCACAGATTTGTATTCCCTGCCACTAGGTGGTTGTGATGTGGTTTTGGGGGTGCAGTGGCTTTCCTCCATCAGTTCGGTGTTATGGGATTTCCAGCTCCTTACCATGGAATTCACCAAAAACCATCATCCTTATAAGTTGTCCCATCATTCCTCCAGTGCCTCAGGCATTCAAGAAGTCTCACTGCATCAGCTTCAAAAAAAGTTAACTAACTCTAATTTGGGGTTGTTCTTGTACTCCCTGGAAAATGAGAAGTTAGATTCCTGTGAATTGAGTTCAGTTCAGTTGCAGGAATTGCAGCATTTGTTGAATGAATTCGAGGCTATTTTTGCCGTGCCTACTAAGTTACCCCCACAAAGAGACCATGATCATCACATTCCCATCATGCACGGGGCAA